GGCGACAGCAAGTGCTTGCGCTCTTTGGATCGGCCCCGCTCCCTGCCGCCCGAGCGATGCCCGTCGGACCGGTGGCCTGCAGGACATCCCCATCAGTCCTCACCATCCCGTTCCCGGGAGCAGAGGACCCTTGGCTGGCGGGGAGGAGCAGGGGGTGGTGGTGTGGGATGGGGCCACCATCCCTTGCTCACCTGAGTCGGCATTGAGGCGTCGGGCGGAGAGCTGGAGCGAGGAATGGTAACTGCGCCGGCGTGACTTGTAGGTGTTGTCGCTGCTCCGCTCCATGGAGAACTCATCCAGCCAAGAGCTGTTGGTGCGCTTGTCCCGGATGGTAGAGAACGATCGTCGCATCGAGCTGGTGTCTGTCACCACCTGCAAGCAACCCCCGGCGAGGGGGTTAGTGCCAGGAAGGGCTGGAGGGGATGGTGGGTGAGCAATTACCGGTTCACCCACCACCACTGGCCCATCACAGGGAGATTCAGGGTGGAGGGTGGCCAGCCCAAGCATGGCACCCCCCAAATAATCTCTGTACAAATCCAGGTTGGGAGGAAAGCAGAGTTCAGCTTTTGTGGTGGAAACTGTTCCACAAGCAAAGCCAGTGGCTGTGATTCAAGCCAAAGTGCTGAGTGTAGAGGGAAAAGCAGCAGCATCCTGCCCTGGGCATGGGGACACGGAGGGTACCAGGCCGTTTGCCCCCTACTCCAGCTATGGGGACACGGCAGGAGCCGGGCCATTGCCCCCCAGGCTGGCTCAGCATCCTTCAGCACCTTGAAAATAGGAGTGGAACAAATAGAGACATTGAAGAATAAACTGAGAGAAGGGGGATCCTCCAGTGCCCCTTGCCTGGTATTTATTTTCATAGGTATTTGTTTTCATGGTCCTCTTTTGTCCTCCTTTATTCCTGAGTGCCCTTCCCCTGCACCCATTCCCTCTCTCTTCACTCATGTCATTGTTTTATCATCTCTCCCCTTTCCTTTCTCCTTTCTACTTCCTCCTCTTCTCCTAATTTGTGTTCTCACATGTTTTGTGGAAAACATCACCTCCTTCTATATTTCCCTTTGCTTTATTCTGGCAGCTTTTTACCTCTGCAGCCTCAGGCCACTCTCCCTTTCCTCCTCTCCTTGCATTAATTCCCTTCCTGCTTCCGTCCCCTCCTTCTGGTCTTCTCCCCCCACTGAGGAACGGTCAATAAAGCCCAGGAGACAAAGCCTCCCTTCCCCTTCACGCTCCACCAAAGCACCGTGATGTGTCACACCAGCTACGACACCAGGTCCTCTGTGAGAAAGCAGACCCAGATACTTCACAGCAAAACCCAACTCCATAAAAAGCATCCGTGTCTTGGTGGAGGCTGAGCACGAGACAGAACGACAGAGAAACTGGGCAGACAAACGAGGAGGTGAGACGTGGCCTGGGTTCCCCCGGACAGACATGTGCGTTGGGACAACAGGAAAAGAAGGAAAAGGCATTTCATCATGCAGGAAATCATCTGACAGCTGGGCTGGGACTCCGCAAACCTCAGCCAACACCCGGGGCTGAAGGAAAGGAGGGGTGTCCCACTGCAGAGGGGACCCTGCAACCTCCCAGCATGGCCCTGGCTCCACCTGCATGAGCCAGGAGATTAATTCCTCTGGCTGCTCTCTGATGCTGGTGTCGCCCATGTCGGGGAACAGCAGCTGTCCTACTTGTGCAGCACCCCAAAAGATGGGGAGATGCTCCAATATCAGCATGATGCGGAAGCCGTGGCGCTCACGGGGCTTGCACGGAGAGAAGCCCCAGCGTTACCTGGTAGGTTTTGCTTGGACCCGGCAACCGTGGGGGCTTTGCTTGGTTTTACCTGGGGATCCACAGTGAGACGAGGCATGGAGGAGGCCCTCCCAGAGACAGCGTGGTCCTGAGTGTCCACGGGAAGGTAGCTGCCACGGTTAGAGGGCTGCACTCTTTGAAACTCCCTAACCTCTGGCTCCTGGAAATAAACACACAGCCAAGCTCTTGGGATGGGGTTGGAGCAGGGCAGCGCGCTGCTTCTGCCCCGTTTGCAGGGGAACAGCCCCGCTCGCTCAAGTTTAAGTGGGCCAGAAAGGGAGTCTAAGACATTACATCCTTCCCGTCACCACTGAAAAACAATCTCCAGTTCAAAACCCGTTGCAGGTGAGCCCAGATGTGGTGCTTCAGGCTTGCCTGATGGCCAATTCATCTTGCACCTCTTCAGTGGCAGGGGAAACCTGCCTGGACCTGTTGATGCCCTGACTGCCCAGGCTTCAAGTCCTTCTCCTTTTGCCACAAGGGGACAAAGGTATGGGATTTTTGCTCTGACCTTGTTTTAAAGGCTTTCTGGCAGCATCCCCTTTAAAAGAAAGCATGCCACCCGCAGCAACTTTACGCTTCGGCTAATTCCCGATTTAGGGGACTCTTTTGTACAGGATGTGCCATCAAGGAGATGGGCAGGGAGAGAGATCTGCTAGAAGGTGACTTTATGGCGAGGTAGGGGACTCTCATTCGCCACTTCCTCGCTGACAGGACGGTGACACGGCGGGGATGGCCAGGGCAGGGGATGCCTGCCAGCACGGGACAAAGCTCACACGAGATACTACAGACCCACAGACTGGGCTGGAGATGCACAGTGGTACCACGCTGCATCCAACAACCGTCGGGGTGGTGCGCAAACGCACACACACAGACATGGAAAGATATATATAGATATGTATATATATATATACAAACACACACACAGAGACACTGCTGCTGCCGGCCACCATGTGTGTGAGGCCGGAGGGGTGTGCTCCTGCTCTGGAGACAGTTTGACAGCTTGGGTTTGGATCAGGGGACACCAGCACTGACAACAAAATGAACACGAATCTGAAAACATCAGATACCATCAACTCGGCACAGGGGTAACCCACTGAAATGAGTGCTCAGTGGAAAAAAAAAGAGCAGCCTGTAAAGAGAAGGATATTTTACTGCAGGACATTCCACCCCGGTCACAGGTCTCACCCCAAAACCACTGGACTCTGCCTGGTCCAGGGATGGCTGCATCCCCAGAGCCCAGACAGAGGCGAGTGGCCAGAACCCCAGCCAGGGGACACCTGGGGACATTTGTCCTCTGCTTTGGATCCATGAGCAACCCAGCAGCTGCCATCCCTCCACTGTGCTCACAGCCACAGGGGCATGGAGCAGCATTTCACCATCGTGCCGGTGGCCCCACACCTCCCCATGCCCACCAGCATCCTGGACCAAGGACCGCAGGCGCGTGCCTGCCAGGCAGTGCGTGACTTTACCAGAGACTGGTGCTCCTGGAACTGCTCGTGGGCCGGATCCATGCACGCCAGCTGGAAGATCTCCTGTGGCGAGAGCGGGCTCAGTGAGGGGAACCCACCCCGGCTGCTCCTGTAAAGAGAGTTCCACCTCAGGGAGGCCAAAAACTGGGTGCTGCCAGTGTCAGGCATTGCATCTCCAGCAGCACAGAGCTGAGAAGCCTCTGTGATTGTCCCCCAGGACAAATATGACATTCCTTGGAGAGCTGAAGTTGTGCCCAGGGAGGAGATGACACCAGTGCCCCAGGTCTGTGCCAGCAGATAGGGCATGCCAAGTGCAGTGCCAGCAACTCCCACCAACTCATTCCCACCAGCCAAGGTGCTGGGATCCTCCATTGACCCTGCACCATCCTGGGATCCACTGCACAACTGCTCTTGAGGTTCAGGTCCATCCCAGACCCTTCTCTGTAAGAGAGCTTGCGCTTAGTGCTGGGATGATCCTGCAAGAAGAGGGTCCGTGCAGATGCCTGGCCACCCCCCCTTAGCCACCACTGTTGCTGTTGGCGATGCCGACGCACACCAGCTACCTGGAATCCTGCAAAAGCTTTGTGCCAGGAGATTTCTGCCCCAAATTAGGTTTCTCCTGCTCTCAGCAGCTCTTTAACCCGCTGTGCATCCCAGTGCCAGCTCCAGAGAACAAAATGAGGGCTGCAGGAACAGAAAAGCTACAGGACTACCTCCTTTCTTCCCAGGGCAATACTCACAGGCCCGAGAGCGTCTCTTGCTGGAGGTAAGGCAGAGCCTTCGCGTTCGAGATGATTTCTTGTGGCAAGGAGGACGGCTCCATGCGCTGGAACATGGGGGCATTTTTCTGTATTGAGGAAAGGAAGAAGCTGAGCCTGTAGGAAATGCAGATGAACATCCAGGGCTTCACCGAGTCCCCACCACTTGGGAAGACAACAGCAAGCTCGTGTTTGCTGTTGGGGGCTGAGGAAGCACCTGTGTGTGCCTTGTAATCACCAAAGGCCAACCTGTACCATCATCCCTCAGCTGCATCCCATGCAGCGGGCTGCCCGTGTGGTTGGGATGTGGTAAGAAAGGTTTTCTGGACGTGCTCACCCTGCCCACCGTGTGCCCTCACTGAGCCTCACCTGCTCCTCCAGCTGCTGCCGCTGCTTCTTCGCTTTGCTCTGCTTATAGTAATCCATGATCATCATGGCTGCATATATTTTGCCAACAGTCAGGTCAGAGGCTGAGAGCGTAAGAGGAAAAGAAAGGTGGGGGACATTTTTATCTTAACAGAAACGGCAGATCCGAAGCCACCAGTGCAGATCTCAGGAAGAGTCCTGCTGTGGGATACGCTGGTGACCCTCAAAGTCTGCTCACTGCTCCAAAAAAAGAGATGAGCACCCAGACACTCCATATGGAGATAAACTGGGTGGAAATGGCTTGAAAGCATCATCGTAAACCACCCAGACACACAGCCTCATCACATCATCACTGGTAATGGAGCAAGCGATGCTCAGCCTCCTGCCCCAATATGCTCCAGAGATGATTTACAGGAGACTCTCTGTTTGGCAGGAGTAAATCACTGCAAACTGGGAGTTTCTCAAAAGGGATCTCAAGCAGCCAGGCAGAGCAAGGCAGAAGCCAGCCTGTAGCAACACAAACCCTTTTCCCACTTCTCCCCAAGCTGGGAACAAGTCTGACCCATCTCCGTCTCCCTTTGGGAAGAAGCTGCTGCAGGCAGGATGGAAACTTGGCAGTAACGACAGCTCCCTCTCCCCCGAGACTCACTTTTTGGCATGGGTACCAACAGGTCGAGCATCTTCTGGGACAGGTGAGGCCAAATGGTCAGGATCTCCTTTTGAAGCTCAGAGTCTAACTGCTGCCAATCTGCACCACCTTGAAGAGCAAGGGGGAAAAACATACCCCATGTACATCAAGACCTGGCACGACGGTCCAATTGAAAAAACCCTTTTCCCATCCTAAAGAGAAGTTCACAAGCAGCAACCAGCTCTCTCTGGGCTGGGAGGGCCATCTTGCATCAGGGAACCTGGTCTCCTGCTCTTGCAAGGAAACTTTCCTACCGCCCTTTCCATATGTGCCTCCATCTCCCCATCCCCTGCCCTCCCACTCAAAGCTGCCATCTTCAAGCTCGCCTTGGGCCCGTCTCTGCGGCTCTAATCCTACTCCAGCCCACACACACCTGCTGCTGCCCCACTTTCTCTTTTCTGGCGAGCGGATCATGTGCCGGTGAAAGAGAAGCTCCACTGGGCTGAAAATCCACAAATACTCGGCGACGCTGCGCAAGGAGAGCAGAGCTCTCCGGCCAGTGGTGAAGGGGTCTGCTGAGATTAGGAAGACTTGGGCGCAAAGAGAGCTGTCAACACGCACCAGCCAGAGACACCCAAGTTCTGCTGAGCTGTAGGAGACCTGGGTTCAAATCTCTGTTATGTAGAGGGGCTTGAACCCAAGGAGCTCTAGGCTCCGCGTTGGGCTTTTGCTGGTATCTTGCCCTAGGCTGGGTTTTCTCTCAACAGCTGAGCTGTTCTCAGGGGATGTTTTATTGCAAATGGCATGTTTCTGCAGAAAGCTTTTGATCTGATGAATCACAGTGTTTCCAGCAACAACAAAAAAGCAGGTTTTTTCTGCTCTGAACATTTTCTCTTCCCTGAGAGAGAGAGATTTCTGTTCCCCAGCCCTGGGTAGCCCAGCACATGTGATTTTTTTTCCCCTCCCTAGTTTGTTTTTGCACATGGAGAGGAAGGGGAATTTTCTCTCTCCCTCTTCACGCAGCAGACGTCAAGCTGTTTCTGTTCTCTGGAAGAAGCTTCTAGTGGAAAACTGTCCATCTCCTCCCTAAAGAAATAGACTTTTTACATAAAGCAGCAGAAATACGCTCAAGGTAATCGCTTCCATCCACACGCCAGGCTCTGGGCAGCCAACCCAGATCTGGTTGTGATGTCCTCAGCCTTCCTGAAAGATGAGTGCTGGTTCCTGTGAAACCCTCCTGGCTCTGTCCCCTCCCCACCCCACTGACGTTACCTTTGGCAATTTTGATGTCCAAGGCCGTGCGTATCAGCGCCATCAGGGTGGAAGTAAAATGGACCGTCATGTCCTCGGCCACGGGCATGTTCATCAGCACCAGTCTCTGCGCAAGAGAGAGAAGAAAACAGCGGACGGAAAACAATATCGAAAAACACATCGACCAGGCTGGAGGAAAAGAAATTAAACATTAAACAAAAGGGAAAAAGAAAATAAAAATTAAAGAAAAAAATAAAAAGCAACAAAGAGTGTCAAAACAGCACAGCCAAAAAAGAAGGGCA